CCTCCTGGGTTCAAGTGATTCTCCTGCCTCAGCCTCCCGAGTAGCTGGGACTACAGGCACATGCCACCACACCCAGCTAACTTTTGAATTTTTAGTAGAGACAGGGTTTTACTATGCTGGCCAGGATAGTCTCAATCTCTTGATCTTTTGATCTGCCCACCTCGGCCTCCCAAAGTGCTGGGATTACAGGCGTGAGCCTCCGTACCTGGCTGTAATTTATTATATCTTTATTTTTTGTAGAGATGGAGTATCACGATGTTGCCCAAGCTGGTCTTGAACTCCTGGCCTCAAGTGATCCTCTAACCTCAACCTCCCAAAGTGCTGGGATTACAATGCAAGGCACCATTCTGAGCCCTAACATGTATTATACTCTATAGAGGTGCTAGTATACAGAGGGTAACAAGATTGACTGAGTACCTGGTATTTTGGTGAACAAACACTAGCAAGGAGGTATAGCATAGTATAGTATCACAGAGTAGAAGAGACTATAGATATACTGGAGTATAGCTATAATAAAGCATAGTGTATACTATACCGGGATAGTACAGTTATACATAGCACAGTGGTTAAAAGCAGGGCCTCGGCCGGGCACGGTGGCTTATGCCTGTAATAGCATCACTTCAGGAGGCCAAGGCAGATGGGTCGCTTGAGGTCAGGAGTTCAAAACCAGTCTGGCCAATATGGTGAAACCTGTCTCTACTAAAAATACCAAAAAATTAGCTGGGTGTGGTGGTGCACATCTGTAATACCAGCTACTCAGGAGACTGAAGCAGGAGAATTGCTTGAACTCAGGAGGCAGAGGTTGCAGTGAGCTGAGATCGTGCCACTGCACTCCAGCCTGGGCAACAGAGGGAGACTCCATCTCAAAACAACAACAACAACAACAACAAACACAGGGCCTATGAGACCAGATAGACCTGGGTTTAAATCCTATGCACCTTATCAGCTATGTGACCTGGGTAAAATTTCTTTGAAATTTTAGGCCTCAGTTTTTTTTCGTAAGTAAAATGGGGTTAATACCACTTACCTCAAAGGACAAGTTTAAGGACAGAACAGAATAACATGTTAAAGGCCAGGCACGGTGGCTGATGCCTGTAATCCCAGCACTTTGGGAGGCTTGGGTGGGTGAATCACTTGACACCAGGAGTTTGAAACTATCCTGGCCAACATGGTGAGACCCCATCTCTACTAAAAATAAAAAAATTAGCCGAGCATGGTGATACACACCTCTAATCCTAGCTGTTGAAAAGGCTGAGGCACAAGAATCACTTGAACCTGAGAGGCAGAGGTTGCAGTGAGCTGAGATAGTGCCACTGCACTCCAGCCTGGGTGACAGAGTGAGACTCTGAAAAAAAAAAAAACAACAAAAACCAGCCTGTGCAATATAGTGAGACCTCATCTCTACAAAAACCTTAAAAAAAATTAGCTGGGGGCCAGGCATGGTGGCTCTCGCCTGTAATCCCAACACTTTGGGAGGCACTTTGATCCACCTGAGGTCAAGAGTTCGAGACCAGCCTGGCCAACACAGGGAAACCCCGTCTCTATTAAAAATACAAAAAATTAGTCAGGCATGGTGGTGGTCGCCTGTAATCCCAGCTACTTCGGAGGCTGAGACAGGAGAATCGCTTGAACCTGGGAGGCAGAGGTTGCAATGAACAGAGATTGTGCCATTGCACTCCAGCCTGGGTAAGAAGAGCTAAAATCTGTCTAAAAAAAAAAAGGCTGGGCACAGTGGCACACGTCTGTAATCCCAGCACTTTGGGAGGCCAAGGCGAGTGGGTCACCTGAGGTCAGGAGTTCGACACCAGCCTGGCCAACATGGTGAAACCCCGTCTCTACTAAAAATACAAAAATTAGTTGGGCGTGGTGGTGGGTGCCTGTAATCCCAGATACTCAGGATGCTGAGGCAGGAGAATCACTTGAACCCAGGAGGCAGAGGTTGCAG